TTAGGTGGGTGGGGGGGGTGGGGGTAGGTGGCTCCAGGCTCCCTGTGCTTCCTGCATCATTGAGAGTCATCCGGCCATGGAGAAGAGATGAAAAGACATCATGTGACCAGCCTGAAGACTTCACAAAAGAGGAAAGACGAAATACAGCCTAGGGGACCCGGGTAGGATGGGGTGATAGGTGGGCTCCAAGTCTGGAGTTGGGGCTCTAGGCTCCCTGCATCATTGAGAGTCATCCAGACATGGAGAAGGTTGGGGGGTTCCAAGCCAGGATTTGGGATTTACCTTTCTAAATCATTTACATGGAACAAGTATGCAAATCAGACGTTGCTCCCCATCATTTCCTGTTTCCATTCTAGTGAATCATTTTCCGATGGAAGCCGGCAATGGCAGAACCCTGCATCCATTTCAGTGCAGGGTGGGCACTTGGTGCTTGCGCCCCCCCCCCCACTGGTCGCTCATGGGTCCTGTAAGTTGTTCTGCTGCATAAAATATTGCCTTTAGGACCCTCGGGTGGGAAAGGGGGGGGAAGGTGGCCTCCAAACTTGGAGTTGGGGTTCTAGGCTCCCTGTGCTCCCTTTAGGATGGTCAACTCCATCCAGTCCAGTGTTGGGTGGGCACTTGGTGCTTGCGCCTCCCATTGGCCGCTCAGGGGTCCGGTCAGTACGAAGTTCCGATTCCCTCCGACAAGGCTATGGTGGAAGTTTTTACTCCGTTACAGCCGAATTAATCATTTATTGGTTTATTCTACATGACCGGAATTCCTTTACAGGTGTGCCGGTAACTTTGTAGCCGTTGGGTGAAGCGGGGAATAATGATCAGGATCCCCACTGGATGGGAGGAGCTGTGATTCAACCCGTAAGAAAGCACCCGAATAAATCAGTGTTAGGCAGAGCTACCCCATTATACCCAATATATATATACAGGTGAAACTCGAATAATTAGAATATCGTGCAAAAGTAATTGCAGTAAGTGCTGCAAAAGGGGCCCAAACCAAGTACTGAGTACATATGCATGCTTGTACTTTTCAGAGGTCCGATATTGTTCTATGTACAATCCTTGTTTTATTGATTGCATGTAATAATCTACTTTTTTGAGGTTGTGGATTTGGGGTTCTTGGGGTTTTCATGAGCTGTAAGCCATAATCATCACAATTATGACAAATCACGGCTTGAATTATCTTGCTTTGCATGTAATGAGTCTCTCTCATATATTATTTTCACCGCATAAGTTGCATTAGTGAAATAAATGAACTTTGCACGATATTCTAATTATTCGAGTTTCACCTGTATATACACAGTATATACATTACCCATCTATCTATAGTATATATTATATATAGAGAGCATGCAGAGGAATGGCTTACCTGTGCAGAGTGTCCCGGCTTCGCCCCGGCTGTTCTATGCCGGCCGAGATAAGAGTTTTATAGTCGCCCGTTGGACAGGTGATCTGCTCTTTGTGTCACCGCGGCAACAAGGAAGGCCAAACAGGTAAAACTGGTAACTTTGTTATCTGCTCTGTTCTCATGGCCGATCAGGGCCACCCCTCTCCCTCTCCGCGGATCGCATGTCAGGAAATTAAGGAGAGCTCTGAAAGAGCCCAGTGTACGCAACCTGGGGGTAAAGTGATATCGTCCAATTGTATGGCGCTATTGTTCCACGGAGGAAAGCGCCCGGGGATCCCTGGACCTCGAAGGTTGAGCGAAACGTACGGGTTATCTTGTATTCAGAAATGTTATTTAAAGATACATACATCTTTACACCGGTGATGACGCGTTTCACCCTGAAGAATTCCATTGGACCCCCGTGAAGGGGTGCGCTGCCACAAATGCGCTTTCCAGCGCGTTGCGTTAAAGCTTGCATTAAAAAAAAATAGGTGCTGTGAAATTTGTGTAGCCACATACAGAGCACGGGTGTGTGGGCATTGCGTGCACTATGACACGGGTGGGTTGCAGTGCCCTGTAGATGTGCTGTAGGGCGCCATTTCCTTCTTCCTGCCAATGTCGCACCGGGTGAACCTTAATGTCAGGCTGCTGCATCCATAGGGCCCCGCTGTTGTGTGCTGAGAGCGCGCTCACTGCATGCTCCCAGCATACTTGACTGTCACCTCCCTGACACGGTATGCGTCAAACGCCGGTGGAACGCAACCAATGTAACAGCAAATTACAGTGGTCACATGATCTTCCAACGTTATGACCCAGTTAAAGGGCAGCTAAGGGTTACATTATACAGCAGCATGATACAATGCATTACAATGTATGAGGTTAATCACATCATAACATCAGAAGTCCTACCAGTCCAGGTGGAGTGAGGAAGGATGACTGGTCTCGTCTCCGCCCCTTCCTGTAATAAAGACCGGTCACTGCTGCTCTCTCCCTCTGCAGGGTGACTGGTCTTGTTGCCACCCCCTCCTGTAATAAAGACCAATCACTGCAGCTCTCTCTCCTTGTGCAGGGT